ATGGGAATGAAGAATCACCTGTAAATATGATAGGAATATCATACTGGTAGAAGCACTTCCAGCTTTGTAGTGTTTATTAGAGAAAGCAATAACTCCATGGGTTTGGATGCAAATGCTGGCTATTCTATTTCTTCAGTGTGTGAAATAAATAGGTGACAGCTGCAATTGCTCTAGTTTTCTTCTGTTTAGCATGAGAGTGATAACATCATTCATAGCATTACTGTGGGAATTAAAGAGAAGTATCAACTAGCCCATTGTAGTTGCTCACGTTCTTTCATCCTTTTTTTTTTTTCGGAAACAATATGTGTTTTTTTTTTTTTCTGAAACAATGTAATTATTGCAGAAGAATGGCTAACTCCAAATTATTTTTATCTAATTCAGTTTGGGCATGCCGACATTATGTAACCCACAATGCAATATGGGAAATGAAAAAATGCCAGTAAAATACCCAAACTAAGTATATGTCAGTCTTTCACCAAGGCATTTGTTAACAAAATAATTAAAGTCATGTGCATTCACGGTTCTAAATCTGCTACCTTGACTGGTGCAGGGAGTGGGGTGACAAGTAATCCCAGAGTTCCTTACTGGTAAGAGAAGCAATTTAGTAACCTGTTGTAGCAGTGTTTTAACTCATACCTCTGCCCAGTTCTCAGCCTATAACAACTATTCCTGCTTCAAGATGCATTGTTTTTTCTCAGATGATTTCTTTCTGTATATTTCTTGTGTGTTGGTAGTCTTTTGTGTGAAATTGAATAGATAACTGACCCATTAGGGCATCCTTGTACATTTAATATCATGAAAATGCATCATGCTTGTTTTTCTTTCTTCCAAGTTTGCCTTGCTCCACACATGTAGATACCTGCTGCTGCAGTGAATGATGAGCTTCACAGTGAAGAACAAGAAAGACTCTTGTGATAGGCCCCATTCCTAAGTGATTTGAACGGCTGCCGCTGGGGACACTTATTTCAGAGTTCATGAAGATCTTGAGGGATTTAAAATTGCTTAGAGGACTCTGAATCTGAGACACAATGACTTTGTTTTGCTAAATTTTCGTGCAAGTTTCTTTGCATGTTTACATTGCTTTTCTAAAATATTTAAGACAAGTCTTCATTAACTTAGATTATAGATTTAATTGATATTCATCAGCTCAGAATATTGGACTGGGACTTGGTGAGCCTATTCGCAGCTCTTCCATTGACTTAGTATTACTTTAGGCTTGTGGCTTAAATTCTGTATTATCAACCATGTATAAAATTAGAATATTTATCAGTGGGCACTTCTTTTTCTGAAGTGTTTACAATTCTTGAGAGCTGTTTTCACTTAGGTATTTTCTTCCTGGGCCTTAAAAATATCCATTACAGAGTTAATATAATTGTCTCTAGGGAAGATTGTGTCACCAAAGGTAGGCAAAGGATGAAGTCCCTGGGCTGGGCTTGGGTCTGCCCTAGAAGGCAGGGAAAATGCTTAATGCTGATCTGGGTACCTGCAGAGGATGGTGATTAGATCCTGGCATCACACTGCAGTGGCTTAGATTGGAGCTTTCCCCGCTGGTGATTGTGGGCAAGTTAAATAACCTCTGGGGTCTCAGTTTCCTCTCTTGTAAAACAAAATGACAGGGATGATAATAACTATATTTCAGAGGATTGTTATGACAGTAATGAAATCACGATGCATGCAGAACATCCAGAACATAGCTTGGCATGTAAAGTGTTGTAGGTTCAGTGAATACATTCCCCTTTGCCCTCTGAGCTTTAAATAACTTGAGGAAAAAATTGGCAGGCTGTGGCCAACTTATTGCTTTTATTATTTTTTAAATCTCAGACTTAATCAGCTTTATTGTTTACAAGAAAAAAAAAATGTGAGAGTTAAATGGGTTCACCAGAACTGAGCCACAGAAATGAGCTTAATCGCCCAGTCACACACCCTGGTGGGCATGGGCAGGCCTCCCCACATCAGGGTGTTCTGTATGGGCAGACTGGCTCCCAAAAAGGAAGGAAGGAGCTGAGTAGATTATGCCCAGTTTGGTTTTCCCAAATGACCCAACAGGCATGCTCTGGAGTGGTTAGACTAAGGGGGCAGGCAGAGGCCAGGAGCCCTTTACCAAATGAGTTTCCATCACATGAAAGAATTATCTTCCCTAGCAACCTTCAACCAGGGACACCCATTTGTTACTGTGAAGCTGCAGTCATCTAGTGTTCAAGGGTTCAGAAATCCTGTTTTTTAGTCAGTGGTTCTTTTCCTATGCTGTACCTTGAAACCACCTGTGGTGTATAAAGACCTAAAAACATGCATACACTTGGGTGTCACTCCAGACCTGTTGAGGAAGACTTTGGAGGTGGGGCCTGGACATGCTCATTTAAAGAACTCTTTGATGCTTCCAGTACAAATGTAGGTGAGGACCCACTGCTGGAGGTGTGCTTTATATTTTTCCTACCATGCCTCTGTGCCTTTATGCATTTGCCACTGCCTGAATCCTCACCTTCTTCACCTGGGCAAAAATTCTACTCATTGACATTGAACTTGGCCAAGTCCTCCTCTGATCTTCCTGCTTCCTCCTCACTCCCTGCAAACATAGATTCCTTCTGGCTGCAGCTACTCTATCATAGCAAAACCCTAAGCCAAACCCACTGCTGGCCTGTCGCTTCGAACTCTGACTCCACCTTCCAGGACAGAGTAGAATGCTCTCTCCAGTACTCTTCTGAGGCAGTAAATCCTCAGGGGAGCAGAGAGCCTCATCTTTTTCCTGGGGAGCAGTTGGTGGATTTGAGCTGCTGACCTTGCAGGTAGCAGTCAGATGCGTAATCCACTGTGCAACCATGGCTCGTATCACAGAATCAGCTATTTTATAAAACGTATTCTGTATTATTTTATTTATAACTTGTTGTTGTTGTTAAGTGCTGTCTAGTCAATTTCAACCCATAGCGACCCTGTACGGGGTTTCCGAGGCTGTAAATCTTTACGGTAGCAGATGCCTCATCTTTCTCCCGCGGATCCGCTGGTAGTTTCGAACTGCTGACCTTGAGGTTCGCAGCCCGATTCGTAACCACTAAGCTACCAGAGCTCCTTTATAACTGGATGTGAAAAATTCTGCAAAAGTTCATATGCCTGCACATACTTGTAAATGTGTAGGAAAAGATGTAAAAGCATAGCTACCAAGTTATTAAGCGATCTTAACTGTTAAGAGAAGGATTTGGGTACAGAGGATATGTAATTATTTTTTTGCTAATAAACTTTCAGATTACTTTTAAATTGTTTTAATGACTGTATATTTTAGATGACTATATTTTGTTTGTAAAACAAATAATAATATGGGAGGAAGTATACTGTGTTGATTTGATGCTCTGCATTTCCTTCTGTGAGAACGTCTGCCTGTCATCGGTCATAATCCCAATTTTGGACTGTTTTCTGACCTCTCACGTTCATTTCCCTTCTCTTCTCTTTTGCAACTTGGACATATTGTCATGCTTGGTAAAATGGAGGGTCAGCAAAAAAAAAAAAAAACAACAACAAAAAACAAGACCCCCAATGAGATGGATTGGCACAGTGGCAGCTGCAATGGGCTCAGGCTTAGCAATGGTTGAGAGGTTGGCACAGGATCAGGGAATGTTTTATTCTGTGTGCATAAGGTCGCTATGAGTTGGTACAGACTTGACGGCACCTAACAAGAGCAAAAACTCTTTTATTCTCTTTCTTTCTTAAATCCTCAAATGGTCAGATGTACGTGTAGATGCCGAGGAAGGGATTATTCAACTGTCTTCAATTTCAGAATTGTCTTTGTGCTATAAGTAGGAAGCAAAAGCAAAACCAAAACCCACTGACTGATTTACGGCAACCCTATAATCAGGGTGGCACAAATTGTGTGTATTAGACTACTATTCAAAAGGTTAGTGGCTCCATGAAAGAAAAGGCTGGCGATCTGCTTCCAGAATGGTTATAGTCAAGAAAACCCTGTGGGATTCAGTTCTACTCTTTAACTTTATTGAGCTGTTATGCATATGGACAACTGGTATTCTTGTTCTAACCATAGATATATCTTTCCTTATACAGGTAATCTACGGAGTTGAAGTTTTGAAGGATGGATAAAGACTTTCGTTATTATTTTCAGCATCCCTGGTCTCGCCTGGTTGTGGCTTATTTGGTGATCTTCTTTAACTTCTTAATATTTGCTGAAGATCCAGTTTCTCATAGCCAAACAGAAGCCAATGTTCTTGTTGTTGGAAACTGTTTTTCATTTGTAACAAATAAATACCCTAGAGGAGTTGGCTGGAGGCTTTTGAAGGTGCTTCTATGGCTACTTGCCATTCTCATAGGACTAATAGCTGGCAAATTTCTGTTCCATCAGAGTTTGTTTGGTAAGTACCATAACCCATGAACTGTACCATGGCTAACTGTTGAATTTGTTTTCCAAGAAAAAGTGTTATTATTTCTGATTGTTAATGTTGAATGCATTTTAGTTTGTCTTTTAGCCTTGTTATGCACTGTTGTATCGAGGTCCTTCAACTATTCTGTTTAATGGTGCACTTTGCCAACTGAATAAGGAAAATTAGTATGAGGTAAAATTAGTACACAGCTTAATTTAAAAAAAATTGGCTTTAGCACTAAAATGAATTTATTTACAGAAGACAGTAAATAACTCTTTTCCCATAAGTAGGACCTAAGTATGGTGTAATAAAAAGTTCATAAATCATCAAGAAGATATCTCCAGTTCACACCACTTTTTCTTTAAAGAATATTAACCATTGCTAATACTAACCATGCTTATATACTTACACATATTATTAAGTCAAGGGATTAAAAATAGAACCCTAATTTTTACCTTGAATTTTATTTTTTGAAAAACATGAGAATGTGTATTCTGAGCCTATTCAAGCTTGTTATTGTTTAGTGCTGAGGAGTTGGTCCTACTCATAGTAACTCTGTATTGGGTTTCTGAGGCTGTAAATCTTTACAGGAGCAAAAAGCCTCACTTTCTCTTGAGGCGCAGCTGGTGAGCTTAAACCACTTACTCTGGTTTACAGTCCAATACTTATCATACAGGGCCACAGTGCTCACCTTTTCAGTCTTAGACCACTATGTTGTTGTTGTTGTTAAGTGTCTGAGTCAGTTCTGACTCATAGAGACCCTTTATATAAAGGGTTTCAGAGGCTTTCCATTTTCACAAGGGTAGAAACCCTCATCTTTTTCCCACAGAGCAGCTTTGGGCTGGAACCGAAGACCTTGTGGTTTGCAGTCCAGTGCTTATCATATGGAGCCACCTCACTCCCTAGAGTAAATTTTAGTAAGAAATCTCTTGGTAGTAAATAACAGAAATCAAAACCAAATTAGCATAAGTTTAAAGGCTAAACTGCTACCAGTGAAACTTGAGAGAGCTGGAACTAGACAGGACAGCCTGGTTTTCCCCAATCTTACAGCTTTTCTGCCTTTACAGCGTGCACTCTTAGTAGAAAATATTTGGATTTCCTTCTCTGACAGTGTTCCCCCTTACTAGTTCCAGCTATTGCAAGTTTTACTGTTTAAGAATATTGGGATATTTCACAGAGATCAAGGCCACGATTAATTCTGGGCATTAAATAACTTGAACCAAAGGCTTGAATTCCATCAAGATGTCTTCTGGTCTTGACTCCTTTGTGTAAGTGTGCTTCATTCTCCTTTCAAACTGAAGATCAATTTACACCTATCCAGAGAGACTGGCTTGACTCTCTTCATCCCAGGTTTAAACTTCCAGTGAAGGGACTGAAATTGACCTAGTTTGCATGTGGTTCCCAGCTCTAGGAGGTGAGTTCCGTTCATTGAACAGATATTCACTGGTCACTTATTACATGGCTGCTTATTACACCACTGTAGACAGTGAGTCAGACACACAAACTGTCATAAAAGTGTTTACTCCACAGGAGGAGACAAGTACTTACCACATCAATATATAACACATGAATATGTGGTGTGACAGGGAAAGGAAAAAAGAATAAGTCGTCTGAAATGCTACAGCTGAATCTCTTAGGGAGAGATCTTAGTAACAGAGCTTTGGATTTAATGATTACAGGATTGTAGTTGATTTAGCGATGGTACTTTTAATACAGAGATTGGATTAGAAACAGATGGAAATGGTTTAAGGAATAAACAAATATACATATATATATACGTATATTCATACATATATATATACGTATATTCATACATATATATATA